CCTCACCCCAGCCTTCTCGACCAGCTCCTCCGGCAGGACCCCAAGGCGTTTCCCGGACCAGATTGGAGATGTAACCTCTCCAACGTGTCCTGGGTCGACCCGGGGGCCTCCTGCTGGCAGGACATGCCCGAAACACCTCCCCGGGGAGGCACCCAGGGGGCATCCTGACCAGATGCCCAAACCACCTCAACTGACTCCTTTCGATCCGGAGGAGCAGCGGTTCTACTCCGAGTCCCTCCCGAATGTCCGAGCTCCTCACCCTATCTCTAAGGCTGAGCCCGACCACCCTACGGAGGAAACTCATTTCAGCCGCTTGTATCCGCAATCTCGTTCTTTCAGTCATTACCCAAAGCTCATGACCATAGGTGAGGATTGGGAAGTAAGATTTGACCCGGTAAATCAAGAGCCTGGCTTTCTGGCTCAGCTCCCTCTTCACCACGGCAGATGTGTTCAGCGTCCGTATCACTGCAGATGCTGAACCAATCCGCCTGTCGATCTTCCGATCCCTCCTACCCTCACTCGTGAACAAGACCCAGAGATACTTAAACTCCTCCACTTGAGGTAGGACCTCTCTCCCGACCCGGAGTTGGCAAGCCACCCTTTTCCGGTTGAGAACCATGGTCTCAGGATTTGGAGGTGCTGATCCTCATCCCAGCCGCTTCACATTCGGCCGCAAACCTACCCAGCAAGAGCTGAAGGTCAGAGCTGGATGAAGCTAGGAGGACCACATCATCCACAAAAAGCAGAGACGAGATTCTCCTGCCACCAAACTCGACACACTCCACACCACGGCTGCACCTAGAAATTCTGTCCATAAAAGGTAATGAACACAACCGGTGACAAAGGGCAGCCCTGGCGGAGTCCAACCCTCACCGGGAACAGGTCCGACTTACTACTGGCTGCTATGTGGACCAAACTCACGCTCCTCTGGTAAAGGGACTGAATGGCCCTTAACAGAAAGCCACCCACCCCATAGTCCTGGAGCGTCCCCCACAGGGTGCCCCTGGGGACACAATCATAAGCCTTCTCCAAATCCACAAAACACATGTGGATTGGTTGGGCAAACTCCCATTCTCCCTCCATCACCCTTGCAAGGGTATAGAGCTGGCCATAATGTGTAATCTCTTCAGCCATCGTCTGTTGGGGTAGCAGCATCAGAAGCAGGGACCTGAAAAGGCTCAACAGCCTAATAAAAAAGGCCGGTTCTGTTCTGGGGACGACTGTGGAACCACTGGAGGAAATAATGCAAAGAAGGATTCTCCAGAGAATCAAGAAAATTATGGACAACACTGAGCATTCTCTTCACAAGACTATCCGACAACGAAAGAGTGTCTTCAGTCAGAGGCTTCTTCAGTTTCGCTGCTGGAGACCCTTCCTGCCAGCAGCCATTGTAATATACTATAACTCTTTGATGACTTGATTATTATTATTATTATTATTATTATGAGCTACTACAGCAATCAATTTCCCTCTGGGGTTAATAAAGTATTTTTGAATTGAATTGAATAACCCTAGTGAGCCAGAAGCGGTAAAGATAATGAATGGATGGACATCAGTTTCTTAGAGGAAAAGCTAAATGTTTGTACTCTGCTGGGGCGGTTCTAGTGGGGGCCCAGGGTGGACCAGAGTCTCCCTCATAGCAAGCTTGCACCCACCTGTGGCCCCTCTGATGAGAGCAGAGCCTAAACATGAATGAGTACAGATGTTTGTAATAATTCAGCCTATATGGAACCAAAACATATGAATGCATTTATCAGAAGCTGAAAAGGGATGCTGAGAAAAACACTTTCATGTTGTCTCTGAAATAGATAACAATTTTATATTTTAAAATGAATTTAAAAGCTATTCTATCTATGGCAATAGCCTAATTGCTACTATCATTTTGTAATTGCTCACTGAATTTTTAAGTGCTTAAATGCATGTCTGTATGTTTTCTTACAAATGTGCCTCTACAACTGAGCAGCTGGGTCTGGCCCCTTCTTATGATAGTCTACCATACCTGGTGCTAATTTGAGGTCTTTGCACAATATTTATTAAGTATTTACCACTTTATTGACTTTCTCACACGATATTACCTAAATGTTTATCAAACACACAACATCACATTTGATAATTAGGCCATTAAGGCTGCATTTACGTAGTTGTTTACCCATCAAATCCCTTGTAATGGAGTGGTTGAAATTAAAAGTCTGTTGGTTTTTCTTGAGAAAAGCATCTGAATACCTATTTCTAAATGTCATCTCCTTGTTTCTTAACAAATGTCACAGTGGGTGCTGTGGATGCAGACTGATGTGTGTAGGGTGATTCACTCAGCCTGGTCAGGTCTGACAGGCAGGTTAACGCTGCATCTCTGCTGCCATCTAGCGGCAGGAAGCAGGTGCTTTTGCACCAATCGTGAGGAGGAGGCAACGACATAAAAAAGAAAGAATAGAAAGGCATTCCCATTCCTTTGCACCTGACCGATGAAAACAAGACTCTTCTTTTGTTTGTTTACCTGATGTACAACAATTGATGGTCTTTGATTGGCCCGTCGGGCCGACAGAGGGGGTGAGTCGCCTGTAGAGAAAAATCCTCAAGACAGCATCAACAGGTAGTCTTTACACACCTTTTGTTTGTTTGGAAACCCCCCAGCGCATTTTCTTCTGGATGAAATGCGGAAGTTGCACTCTCTTTACTTAAAGTGGTAAATGTTCCAGCTGGAGACGCCAGAGCTGAGTGGGGCTGTGGGATCAGTGGACCGACGGATTGGGGGTTTGCCGTAATCCCGGAGGTTGCAGCTGCATCATCATGCCCGTTCACAGGAGGCAGGTGGGTCACTCATTATCACCTCCCTACTTTACTGCTTCTGCTTCTAAACCTCCAACGGAATCATGACCACGTTGTTTAAAATGACTTCATGGCATCTTCAGCCAGGGCTGTTCGAGACGAAGCCCATAAATATAAGACTGGTGGTTCAGATTGTGTTTCATGTGAGCCACAACTCTTCAGTTTGACATCAAACTGCTGTGTCATCGTCATGGTGAAGAGCATGGGTAAAGAGTGTTCATTCAGCTTGGATTAGGTGTGTTTAATTATGACTCAGTGCTGGTTTCATCCTGTGCACAAGGGCATTCCTCAACACACCTTCACCGTCTGGTTAAACAGGATTCCTTTGCTAGCAATGACCTTTCAGCTGATTTTTGTTGTTTTGTTGTTGTTTTGGCATCAGACTCAAAACAACAGGAAGTCATTATCATTCACCTCTGTTATAGCTCTATAAAACTCATTCTCATTCATGTTTGTTTGAAAATGTATTCATAATTTTACTTTTTATTTAATTAATTATAATATCATTATTTTGTGTTCAAAGCCCAGCATCGAATTCCTGGAATTCATTGGAGTGGTAAAGGAGAACGGCAGTGAACAGATCTCACTTCCTCCTGTGGTTAGACAACTTACCGAAACCATTTTTAAAATGTTACAAGCATGGACATAATTTTTACTTTAGAAGTGGGGGGGACACGGGGGGGGGGGGGGGGGGGGTTATCTTTACAGTATGTTCTAATGGGAAACAGGCTTCAACACAAATTGTTGTTTTCCGCTTGGTCCTAGAGCTCAACCAGTGTCAATTTAATATGGCGTAATATTGTTTTTGGATGGTAAAAAGTGCAAGGGTCAAAACTTGACTTTGGAAAAAGTGGGGGGGACATGTCCCCCCTGTCCCTCCCCCAAAATTACGTCCATGGTTACAAGATAGATGAAGCTGGATTTGTTAAATGCAAATCATTTCTGTGGCACAGCTCACTCCTCTGTCATATGACTACGTCCTGGTGGCGAAAAATGCTGAAAACCACGTGACAGAGGCCTTCAAGAAACAAAGGGATTACATCGATGAGCTGAAGAAAAAGAACTTCAAAGTGACCGTGAGTCTTTTAAAAAGGGCAAAACATGTGAACTTTGTGGCAAAACGACATTTCAATGGCTCTTCTGGTCTTGGCTTATTTACTTTAACCCTACCAGAAAATTATCGATGATGATCTCGCCTTCTATGGGATTCAGGCTCCTAAAGAAATATTTGAGAGGTACAGGTATCTGCTCAAAGTGTCTGATGCCTGCAACTGGAGCTCAGATCAGAACTTTGTCCCTCTTAGCACCAGGTAAGCCACGGACCGACAACTGCTGGGGTTTAGTCCATTAAGTGTTTAAATGCATTGGCTTATTATATAAAAATGATCTCAAATGTTATTTTTTACTAAAACGGGCAATTTATAGATTAAATGACATTGTCTGTTATTTTGTAAAAAAAACACATAAAGACTCATTGAATGAATGGCATCTCATTTCCTGCATGCTTGTTCTTACCAGGATAAGGATTGTCCACTTCATCTTAAACCACACAACAATCCGCTCAGGACGTGAGAAAAACCTTTTTATAATACCGTTTCTTTTCTTTCAAATTGTTTTCCTATTTTCTTTTAATATTTCCTTTCCTGTTTTCATTTCAGTAGGGTTACGAGATCTCATGAAGGCAAAGGTTTTTGAGGCCAGATTCTGTTTACATGAGGTAAAATTCCTTAAATGCATTTTTCAAAAGCCGTCTCCTCCTGCTCAAGATCTTAAATGATTGTTTCAGTTTGGACCGCAGCCTGAAGCAGTTTCTCTCATATTGAAACATTTTTTCATGGCACTGCAATTATAAACAGCAAATTATACAAGATCTAAACAAAAGCAGTCCTTGTTGTAAATACAATCAAAAACTTTTTAGGAGTCCGATGACAAATGTTGAGTGCTTCTAAAATAAGAAAACAAGAATCTTCTCACTAATCAATAGTTGTTGGAAAGTACTTGCTGAGAAAATACAGCCTGATTCATACTGTTAGTCACTTGAGGCTTCGAGTAAGTGGGCATGTGTGTGAGCATACAGCGTTAATATGTGACTGTGAAAACATTAACATGTTTGACATTCTGTTTCCTGCACAAACACATGCAGGACAAAGAAAATGCTTGGAAAGGAAAAGCCCAAATTGATTTATGAATATTTTAATCAGACTTGATGACATATGATCTTAACTGCATTCATCGATTGTAAATTCTCTTTTAAAAATCCCTATTTTACATATTCGTCCTTGGCTGTTCGTGTTTTAGAGTGATGTCTGCAGCAGTTTGCACAAACCTCTTCCTCATGCTGATAGTTTCCTTTGATTAATGCGCCTCTGCTTTCAGAAAAGGAAACAGAAAGAGCTGAAGGAGAGCTGGGCTCGATGGACAGCCTGTCTCCAAGGGCAACCCATAACTGCTGTCAGGTTTGGACTGCAACACAACAGCCTCTTCATTATTCTGCTTCCAGTACTGTTAATTAAATGGCTGCATTGTTGTTTTAGAAACATGACCCCAGCAAACATGTCATCAACATCCTGCAGGCTTTATTAGAAAAATGTGCAGTAACCACTGCAGTGGTTTGTCAGTAACCACTGACAAACATGCCACAGTAACCACTGTGGCATGTTTGTCAGCCTCAAAATTCCCCTTTGCAGTTCTGCCAATATACTCAAAATGTATAGATGAAACAATTGATCTCCTCAGTTACCTCAATAACAAAATCAGATTTGGATTTTTGTTTTGCATTTTTAAGTTTCTAACATTGTTACATTTACAGAGGAGACACAATGCCTCAGCTCTTAGACCAACCGGCAGATAAAGCATCCTGGATGCAAATACCAGTGAAAGGTTGTGGAAATGTCACATATAGACCAGCACCAATTCAGATCAAACCTTCCAGTGATTCTGTCTTTATGCACTTTTTGCAATGTGCTTTTAGACTAAAATGAAGTCATATATTGCAGCTACTGATGTTTAGATTTTTTTAAATCACAATTTGGAGGAATTCTAAATTAAATTAAATATTTGAAAGCTGCAGCCTTCCCAATATTAGGATTTGTTATAGGATCTGTCCTCCCAGCAGCCTTTATCTTGACTTTGTGGGTCAGAAGTTAAAAAAGTAAAATACCTTGTGTTTTAACCAGACTTAGCTTATAAATAACAGTAATGAATGAATCAATGAATGATTGACAGTTGTGAAAGTGTTTAGAGGACTGTTCTGTAACAGTCAAAATCAGCAGATCTCATGTTTTGTTATTTTAATTTATTTTAATCAAATGACAGTCAGATACACTACACATGTGTTAATGCAAAGGTGGGGAACCCTCGTCCATCGACGGCCACTATCCAGCATATTTTAGTTTCAACCCTGCTTCAACACACCTGCAGGTGATTCACAGGCTTCTGCAGAGCTCGATGAGCTGCTGAACAGGTGAATCAACCACTCAATCAGAAGTGTTGGTGCAAAGACATGCAGGATACCGGCCCTCGAGGATCAGGGTTCCCCACGCCTGTTAAAGGATCCAAAAATCAGGCATTGACCCTCTTCCACGAATGTGTTAAAAATGACAGCATTAGCCATGTTTTTATCACTGTCGGGAAAGGTGATCAACTCTTCTCTCTGCAGCTTTATTTACCGATTTTTATCTACAAACTGGTAATCTACTGCAGAAACCTTCATGTGAATGACCTTTGTTCGACTGTTCACCATGCTTTATTTAATTTTCATGCTGAAACGCAATCATTTACAGCAGTAGAGAAACTATTCACCAGACCTTTGAATACCTGCAGGATGCCTTTGATATTGTACAATCCCAGCTATCTGACTTGACGCTTGTGTTGAATGCAAGTAAAACTAAAATGGCCCTGTTCTCAAACAATAGGAACGCCATAGCTATTCCTCCAAACAGTATTACCCTACTGGGAAATCTATTCGAGCGTGTGGCTGAGTATAAGTAGTATTTGGGGTTTGTACTTGATGACCATCTAGAAACTGAGGTTAAAGCTAGGGTCCTATTTTAGGAATAGGGTCTGCTTTTCTCTTGGAGCAAGGAAGAAGCTTGTTGAGGCAACCTTTCTCTGACGGACAATGGTGATTTTTTTTTTTTTTGTATATGCATGCTCCTAACAAATATCTGCACCAATTAGATTCAGTTTATCATGGAGCACTGAGATTTATTACAGGGTGCAAACCTCGTAAACATTGTTGCACTCTATAATCTAGTCCAGTGGCCCGCTAACCTGGTGGCGACTGTTTATTGCAAAGCCATCTCGGGATGTTGCCTCCTTATTTATGTAGGCTTATGTCCTTCAAGCAAGGCCGGACTAACCATATGGGCAACTGGGCAATTGTCCAGGGCCCACGGACTCTAAAGGTCCCAGGGCAGCCAGGCACGAGCAAAATACTGTATCTGTAATTTCCCGCTTGGTGACCGTACGTTCCGTTTTCCCCGGACATGTCCACTTTTCACTCTCTGTCCGGGGCGTCCGGACTGGGGGTTCTTGTATTGATGAAAATGTCCGGCTTTTCATCAGGAGCAGGGATCGAAGGGGAGCTGTATATCCTACACATTCAGGGGAGCCGGAAAAAAGTTTTCTACCTATATGACATCATTTATGGACTCTTTTGAGCAGAGAGCACAGAGAGCGGCACAGCGCGTTGTTGCGCAGCGCTCCAGGCTCCTGCTTCCAGTGCACGGTCCATTCTCAAAGTGGCGCAACCAAAAAACTATAATTAGCACACGATCGTTCATGTCCGCACATGTTCTCTACTTTCTGTCTTATTTGCGCCTGAAGCGCTCTGCCACTGCGGAGCTCATCACCTGTGCTGCAGTGATTTCACCTCACTGACGCGGCATCGAAATGCGCTCTCCGCTTTGTGGTCAGGAGATCCCTTTGATCTGCTCAAAAGTAAATGATGAGGTGAAAAGTAAGAATCCAGGCAGCAGTTTTTCTGGAGAATTAAGAGGAGATGCAGGAAGATGAGAGACAGACAGGACAGGAAAATAGTTAAATAAAAACAAGAAAACAAAACAAAAAGTAAAATGTCGGTAGATTTATCTCCACTACACGTTTTTACCTGTATAAAACAATAAGTTACACACATGTAATAATTATACATCTGATACAGTTCAGATCACCTTCAAACTCAGTCACACAGCCAGGGCTGTTTCAAGACATTTCGGGGGCCAAGGCAAAAATGACCCCCCCCCCCCCCAATAACTGGGCTCCCCAGAAGCCTCTGTGTAATCCATACCCTCTCCAGGAATGTTAGTTATACAGTGTTTATAAAAACACCTCAGACATCGCTGACATGTTATCAGATGAAAAACTAAATGATCAGACATGCTGTCTCATCTGCTGCTTTTCTAAACTTGCAAAAAGTAACAAAACTATTTGAAAGCCACTATTTGTGGATTCTCTGAAAGTTTCCATGGAGTCTGTGACAACTTTTTTCATCATTGACCCTATCATCTAATCTCACAGCTGAAACAAGCTTCCTTAATAATCTGCACATGAAGCTTACCGATGCTGTAGTAAAACAAAAGGTATAATAATTTATTATTAATAAAACCTTGTTGCAGCATTAAAGCAGAAAAATGAGATTTTGCAATAAATATGCAAATATTTACATATGAATCATTTTAGAGCCATTTTATTGGCAGAATCTGATATTAATGTAGTTCTTTCAAAAAAATGGGTCCCAAAGTGGTTTGTGTGGCGTTGCCATGGTGTGACATCATAGGCACAGATCCCCTGTCCTCTTTTTTGGAAATGGAAATATGATCACCCTATATTAAACAAACTGTCCACCCGGGCTTTTGCGCTGCACAGAGACGCTTTGCTGCCAATGACTTTGAACGTCAGCTGAGAGTCAGTCTCATGCAGACCGACCAATGAAGAGAGGGCCTCAAGTTAAGACCCTCTCCTCAATGGTCAGTCCACACGAGGTGGGTCAAAGGTTACCCTGAGCGGGTTACGTGATGTCAGGCATTCAAGTATTGAGTTATTTACTGCATATTACAGTAATATATTTTGTATGTGACCATATTATGGTGATCCTTGGGTCATGATGATGGGGCCCTTGAATATTGTTGCTCAGGGTACAACGAAGTGTTAATCTGGCCCTGCCTTCAAGCACTCACTCTCTGCCGTCTATGGTAATCTCCAACTGTCTATGCCCAGAGCTCGTACAGAACTAGATAAGCAAGCATTTAGGATCCGTGCCCCATCAACCAGGAACCAGAATCACCTAAAACTAGAAAGTCTGGTCTCTTTTGGTCAATTTAAGTGGCTAGTAAATTAACAGGAAGCAGGCACAATCAGCCCCTGTCTCTACTTCCAAAATTAGGATTAGCCACTGGCAATGGTGGATGTCATGACAAAATTTCCATTGCCTAATGTTAGTCAAATTGCTGTACTATTATGTCAGGATTGTTCCTTCCATTGTATGTGTGTGTATGAAGATGCATATGTATGTGTGTGCATGTATGTGTGTGTGTTTATATGTTTGCACATATTTTCTAACATTGGTCAAACCCTTGTAATGTTTTTTTTTTATGGCGGCCTTCTTGGCCAGGGCACCTTCGCAAATGAGACTCGATCTCAAAGGATTTTCCTGGTTAAATAAGGGTTAAAATGGTATTAAGATCTTACTTTGAAGCCTAGTGCCTACTAAACAATTATACATACCAATCACAGCCCCAGCAGGGACACACCCATACTGTGTTTGCCTGTGATCAGAACAGCATCTACCACTAAAGAGGTGCTTGTTTTAATAACTTGGTTAATTGGTTTAAACCATTGCACTACGGTTCACACACAATGCCACATTCAGCGTGTGAAGTACCTGTTTACACGTAGAGCTTTATGTTTTGCTTTGTGAATATAAATCGTTCTCTTTAATTGGCACTAACCACAATCACTATTTTCAAATGTCATGAGCATTACATCTCTTTCTGCTATTTTGTGAGTTTTCTCCCTTGTGTGTGTGTGTGGGTTTGTGTGTTTTCAGGAATTACTTCGGGGAGAAGGTTGCCCTGTACTTCCTGTGGTTGGGGTGGTACACCTACCTGCTCATTCCCCCCGCTGCTGTAGGGATCATAGTGTTTCTCTTTAGCCTCAGCCAGTTCAACAGCTCACCCCTCATGTGAGTGTGGTTTTCACCTTGCTGTGCGCCACTTAATGGAGCATGTCCTCTGTAATTACTCCTCCGTATTGACCAACCTTACCTGTCTTGTAGAAAAGAGGTTTGTGAGTCTGACACAGTGATGTGTCCACTTTGTGACCAGGGCTGCAAAGTGTGGCAGCTCTCAGAAACCTGCACGTTTGCAAAGGTACACGAGTGTGTGCTGACTCTCAAAAAGCTCGGTAACATTGACTGCATGTAGGTTCTCACTTCTGATCTTTTCTGTTCACAGCTGAGCCTGCTGTTTGACAATAATGGTACAGTGGTCTTTGCTTTGTTCATGGCAATATGGAGTAAGTATTTAAACACACATTAAATACACACACACACACACACACACACACACCACACACATATTTTAGAAAGGTTATCAAACAATGATCTTTTATATCCTAAAAACAATGGCCTATAATTCATTTGTGAATCAGGATACAAAACTACAAAACAGTTTTTGTTCTAGTCATCTAAAGATTGAGATGGACAGAACATCCTGTACAAATCCAATCTTTTCTCTGCCTCAGATTTATTCGGTTCAGCTACCAGTTTTATTATCTCTGAGATGTTCCCTGCCAAGGAACTGCAGTGAGATCCTACATCACTTGGCTTTGCTCACATTGGAATAAACCAGCTCCATCTGGCTGTGGGTGGGATTAAGCAGGCAGCGATCTATGTAATCGATAAGAATAATAAGCTTTGTTTAAAAATCACAGTTGAAACATTTTTAAAATAATTTTAAAAGATGACAGCGTCAGACTGGGACTCCATATTTATATCCAGCAGTATGAGTTTGCTTTAAGAAGTGTGATAAACTGTGTTTAGAAAGTTCCTGAAGAAACTTTGATGGGGGCTTCCACCCCGTCAGCTCACAACAAACTGGTATTTGTTGATTGCAGAAAAGGCCTTATCACTTCAGATGGGATTTATTTTTGTATCCGTCTTTTTACAGCAACTTTGTTTTTGGAGTTCTGGAAGAGAAACCGTGCTTCTTATGTTTGTGAGTGGAAAGTGTCTGACTGGTCTGAGGAAGAGGTATGATTAATAGTTTTAATACTAATTCAATAGCATCCATATATCACTCACTGTTTGTGCTTTGTTCACCTAAATTCAATCACAGGAGGAACTGATCCTGGAAATAGTTAACAACGTTGACTGCAAACCCAAAAAGTTTGAGCACTCCTACGTGCACAGCACCCTGGTTATCATCTGTGTCACAGTCATGGTGAGATATACTTTATTATCCATATCTTTTATTTTCAAACATTTTTAAAAAGATAAGATCATTAGGCTCTTGGCTGAAGAGATTTAGACAATCAGTCTGAATAATGTTTCCACAGATACTGTTGATCATTGGTCTGACACACGCCTTGGTGGTGTTCAGGGTGATTGTAGCAGGGTTTTTAGCTTCGGAGCCGTCAGGGTTCTTGAGGCAGCACGCAAACATCGGAGCAATGGTGGCGGGGGCTGTCCTCCATTATATCACCATCACAGTCATGACACGGGTATGAAGGTCTCTAAAATATTTTACCAGTAATCTCTGCAACGCTGATTATTTATATCTTTGTCTTTGCAGGTCAACAAGATTGTGGCCGTGAAGCTGTGCGACATAGGTATGTTTGCTGTTTATTAGCCGATCATCACTTCTGTCAACTTCCAGAAACAAAGATCGAGAAAAAGTCTGGTGTCATTTCTTTATGTTGCATTTCCAAGCAGCCAGACTTGAAATGAAACCATGATCAGACTCAGTGTTTTCACTAATGTATAATGAGGAATGCCTCAGAACTGGCTGTTTATAAAACTGGCAACAGAAATGAGAACTTCTAAAAACGATCCTCGGCAAATTCCTCTCGGAGAAGGGAAAAACAAAGTATTGTACAAAAGAACCTTTCAAGACAAAACCCAGAGTATCGGAGTACCTGGCCTGGAGGGTTACCGGAGTCTCACCATGGGCCCAGCCCAAACCGGTTACTTGTGTTTGTCTACCTGTGGACTCAAAATCTGCAAGAGGGGCTAGTGGATCGGATGGCAGACGAGGGTGGAGGTCCGATCCCTGGAATCTACAAGTGACAATGGGGCATGAAACGTCATCTCTCTGGCAGGAAAGAAGCAGGGGCTAGTGGAATATATTTAGTGTTAGTGGCTCAGACTTATCTCACATAGCACTGGCTCTTAAAGCAGGGCTGGACTCTGTTTTGCTGAAGGTGAGAGGCGGTTATCAGGTCATCTCTGGTGCAAACACGTGTTCTGAAAAATGTAGGTGTGACAAAAAAGGTAAAAATACACAAAACTAAACAAACAACTTGTTACAAACTCCTCCTACTGACCACTCCCTATGGACCAAACCGGCGGGCTACTACACTTCCCAGCATTCCCACCACCAATGTGGCTTGTCGACGTCATCACGCCGACACTATTTACGGAAGCACCTCCGCTCATTCATCACTCAGTCATCGTTCCTACCAGACATTGAACCGAGTTCTCAGGCTTACCAGCCCTCAAACCAGGAAAGGGATCTTTCCACGCTGTCTACTACCAGTAAGCCAGCTTCCTTATCTATCCGGAACTGCTGCTCAGTCTCGGCTCTCTCCGAGCGCTGCGCCGCCGGTCCCAGAACAAAGCCGCATGCTCTGTTTAACCCAACGCTAGCCACTCCGCGTCTGGGTCACGCAGTTACGCTACAAACAACCTCCGCTACGCTCCAGCTCAGCCACTCGAACCTGACAGGATGACTGAGTCCAATGTTGACCCAGCGGAGTTCGCTCACCTGCGTGCAGAAGTGGCTCAACTGCGCACAACTGTAGATCGCCAGACGGCAGACATGAACCAGCTTCGCGCCGTAGCAGATCGCCAAGCCTATAAGCTCGAGTCCCTTACCGAGCTAGTTGTCCAGCTTTCCACTGCCCTGCAACGACAGACCTCAGCCATCACCGACAACATGGAACCACGTCTCAGCCTCCCAGAGAAGTGGGATGGGACCAGAGGGTCCCCGGAAGGCATGTTGGCTATTCTAGCAATGACTTTTGAGTGCCAGCCGGCACGCTATCCCACGTCCTGTTCTCGCGTTGCCCTGCTGACCTCCCTGCTGACGGGTCGGGCCGGCGAGTGGGTGGCGTCTCTGTACAACCAGAAGTCTCCTGTCTGCAACAGTTACGAGACCTTCGTGAAGGAGATGAAGAAGGCGTTTGTTCATCCCAGCAGCCAGGTCGCGGATGAGACCCGACTGCTTCAACTTCGTCAGGGTTCCCAAACGGTGGCTCATTACACCTCCCGCTTCTGGACTACGGCCGCTCGGTTGACTTGGGATGACGCCGCCCTGAAGGCCGTGTACCTGGAGGGGTTGTCCCCCCGAATCCGTGAGGGCATGATTGGACATGAGGCCCCAACCTCCCTGGACCTGGTTGTGGACCTGGCCCTCCAATTGGACCACTGCATCCTGAACCGACCGAGCGCCATGTTGGCTCCCGCCCACACCAGAACGTCACCCCGTCGTCAGGGCAACCAACCGACTGAGGAACCCATGCAGCTGGGACATCTTCCCCCTGAGGAACGGGCGCGGCGTTATCAGGAAGGATGATGCGCCTACTGTGGGGATTTGGACCACCACCGTGGCACGTGCCCGAGGCGACCGGAAAATGTTCCCTCTGGGTCGGAGTAGGGGCTGTCCCGCCCGGAGTCTCCACTTTTCCTGTCCCACATCGCACCACTCTCCCGGTCTCCCTCCACTTGGACCAAGGGCCGACCCGACTGGAGGCTCTTCTAGACACCGGCGCCGCTGAATGTTTTATCGACCAGGGACTGGTCACCCAGCTCAAGATACCCCTTACCGCTCTCGACCGATCCATTCCTGTCACCTCTGTGGACGGCCGCCTGCTCATGCCGTATCCTCTCACTCACCGAACCTAGGACCTCCACATGACCATCAACCAACACCTGGAGACCCTTCGCTTCCTGGTCATTCAGGCCCCAGCTACTCCTCTCATCCTGGGTCACTCCTGGTTCTGCCGCCATGAGCCTCACATATCCTGGTCCACCAGTAAGGTCATGGCCTGGGGAGCGGGTTGCCAGAACCACTGTAGTTCCCCTACACCCCGGACTGGAGCAACACCTCCCAGGGATGTAGACCTGACACTCATTCCTCCTCAGTACCACGACCTCGCTCAGGTCTTTGCTAAAGAACCCACTACCAGGTTACCCCCTCATCGACCTTATGACCTGGAGATCAGGCTCCAGCCCGGTACCACCCCGCCCCGGGGTCGCCTGTACTCTCTCTCTCCGTCGGAGACCCGGGCAATGGACTCCTACATAACCGAGGTCCTCCAAAAGGGGTTCATTTGTCCCTCAACGTCTCCCGGTGCAGCAGGGTTTTTTTTTGTGAAGAAGAAGGAGGGGGATCTCCGGCCCTGTATTGACTACCGGGGGTTGAACAAGATAACAATCCGGGACCGTCACCCTCTTCCTCTCATGGGCACCGCTCTGGACGCCATCACCCAAGCTGCCCTCTTCACCAAACTGGATCTGCGCAGTGCTTATAACCTGGTCCGCATCAAGGAGGGTGAGGAGTGGAAGACCGCCTTCATCACACCAACCGGCCACTATGAGTATCTGGTTATGCCCTTTGGCCTCTGTAGCAGCCCCGCGGTTTTCCAACGATTCATCACAGATGTACTAAGAGACATGTTGGGCCGCTGGGTTTTCATATATCTGGATGACATACTCATATACTCTCCCATGGCTGAAGAACACATCCGGCATGTTCGGGCCGTTCTGTCCCACCTCCTGGACCACAATCTATACTGCAAACTGGAGAAGTGTGCGTTTCACCAGGAGTCCACCTCCTTCCTGGGTTTTACCATCTCCTCCCGGGGCCTGAGGATGGACCCTCAGAAGGTTCAGGCAGTAGCACAGTGGCCTCTACCCACGACCCTGAAACAGGTGCAAAGCTTTCTGGGCCTCTCAAACTTCTACCGTAGGTTCATACGCAACTTCAGTTCCCTCGCAGCACCTCTGACCTCCCTCACCAAAGCTACCAACCAGCCTCGCCCTTTCCGCCTTACCCCGGAGGCTACCCGTGCCTTCCATGATCTGGTCCTGCGCTTTGTTAGAGAACCCATCCTCCTCCACCCGTACCTGGCCCGGCCCTTCGTCGTGGAGGCGGACGCCCCTGATGTGGGAGCGGGGGCCGTCCTCTTGCAACGGGGCCTGGACTCTAAGCTCCACCCCTGCGCTTACTTTTCCCGGAAGTTCTCCCCCACACAGCAGAACTATGGGGTCAGCGACCGAGAACTGCTGGCGATAAAATGGGCCCTGGAGGAGTGGCGGCAGTGGCTCTTGGGTACCACCGACCCTTTCCTGATCTGGACCGACCACCAGAACCTAATACACCTTCAGACTGGTCGTCAACTCAATCCTCGCCAGGCTCAGTGGGCCCTCTTTTTCAAGCTGTACAATTTCCACATCGCCTACCGACCCGGCTCCAAGAACCTCAAGGCGGACGCTCTCTCGGCGTTTCTCACAGGATACAAGCCCTCCGGAGCCTCTGACCATCCTGCCGGCTCACCACTTCTTGGCCGCCCTCCAATGGCCTCTGGAACAATCCATCCGGGCCGCTCTCCCTGCCGATCCGGCACCTCCAGAGACTCCCCTGAACCGCCTCTACGTTCCGACTTCCTGCCGACGGGAGGCACTAACGTGGGGGTATTGTTCGCAGCTTGCTGGACATCAAGGCCAAACCCGCACCCTCCAGTTCCTCAGTCGGGCTCTCTGGTGGCCTTCTATGAGGAAGGATGTCCGCAAGTTCACTGCTGCATGTGATGTATGTGCCCGGTCCAAGTCCTCCAACCAAACTGGCGCCGGGGACTTGCAACCACTCCCTGTGCCCAAGCGGCCGTGGTCGCACATCGGTCTGGATTTTGTCACGGGTCTGCCAGCCGTCGACCACCTGGATACCATCCTCACCATCACTGACAGCTTCTCAAAGGCCGTGCACTTAGTGGCCCTGGCCGGACTCCCCACTGCCAAGAGAACGGCCGAACTGCTCCTCGAACAGGTGGTGCGGCTCCATGGTTTCCCCCAGGACGTGGTATCCGACCGAGGACCCCAGTTCGTCTCACACTTCTGGAAGGCTTTCTGTCGCTTGGTTGGCGCTTCAACCAGTCTGTCCTCTGGGTACCATCCGCAGACAAACAGTCAGACGGAAAGGGCCAACCAGCAGCTTGGACATTACTTGCGCTGCTTCGCCTCGTCCCAGCCGTCCACCTGGCCCCGCTTCCTCCTGTGAGTGGAACTGTCGCACAACCTCCAGACCTCCTCTGCCATGAGTCTGTCTCCCTTCGAGACATGTTATGGGTACCAGCCCCCTCTGTTCAGCCATCAGGTGCCTGAGGTGGAGGTTCCTGCTGCCCAGACTCTGGTCCGCCGCTGTCGGCTCGCCTGGATCCGGGCCCGTGCGGCCATCACCCGGACCAACACGGAGTACTCCCGTCAGCATCGCCGCCGCCACCGGCCTGACCCCGTCTTCCGGCCTGGCGACCAGGCGTGGCTCTCTTCCGCCAATCTAAGGATGCCGGCAGGCTCCCGGAAGCTCGCTCCTCGCTTCCTGGGCCCCTTCCCTGTCCTTAAGGTCATCAATCCGGTCACTTACCGGCTGCGCCTTCCAGCCACTCTCAAGATTCACCCGGTCTTCCATGTCTCCCAGCTGAAGCCGGTGGTCTCCTCTCCTCTCCACCCTCCTCCGACCCGGGTGCCTTCGCCCCGCTGTGTGGAAGAGGATCGTGTTTACACGGTCCGCAGGATTCTGGACGCCCGCCGCCGGGGACGTGGTTGGCAGTACCTGGTGGACTGGGAGGGGTACGGGCCGGAGGGGCGCTCTTGGGAACCCGCTCGCTCGTTTCTTAACCCTGCCCTACTGACTGATTTCTGGGCCCGCCGTCCTGGGACTTCGGGGGCCGTCCCTCGAGGGGGGGGGGGTCCTGTCACGAACTCCTCCTGCTGACCACTCCCTATGGACCAAACCGGCGGGCTACTACACTTCCCAGCATTCCCACCACCAACTTGGCTTGTCGACGTCATCACGCCGACACTATTTACGGAAGCACCGCCGCTCATTCATCACTCAGTCATCGTTCCTACCAGACATTGAACCAAGTTCTCAGGCTTACCAGCCCTCAAACCAGGAAAGGGATCTTTCCACACTGTCTGCTACCAGTAAGCCAGCTTCCTTATCTATCCGGAACTGCTGCTCAGTCTCGTCTCTCTCCGAGCGCTGCGCCGCCGGTCCCAGAACAAAGCCGCGTGCTCTGTTTAACCCAACGCTAGCCACTCCGCGTCTGGGTCATGCAGTTAAGCCTGGTTTATGCTTCTCTGTCAGCTCCGCAAGGGACAGACATGCACGGATTGACAGAAGCGTTTTGCTTTCATACTTCTCCGTCTCCTGGAGAGTGTTGCAAAGCAATTCTCCGGCAGGACAACAAAGGGCGTAGCGCTGCAGTGTCTCCAGGAACGGTGCACCAAAAAAAAAAAAAGGAAAAAAAGTGTCGGTCCGAGATAGTGTGTTTATATTGTGTTTTTTGTGTATATAAGAGACTTTTAACACGGACATATTTGTCTCTCATTCTCCTACATCTCTTCATGTGCTCCCCACCTCTAAACCCACGTTTCCTGTCATTTCCGTCCACAAATAAAACGCTTGCTGTGCATCTTTTCACTCCTCCAGTCACGGGAGAATTAAACGTAAATAATTTTAGAGTTTTTTCGCGAGGTATTCTTCAAGCTTCTCCATGTCTGCCACTAGTTTTCCTCGGCTCTCTTTGTAATGGCGGCGCTGTAAACAACAGCGGCATCCTGACCAATCACAAGCTTGCGTAATCCGTTTAGTTCGACGGATGTTTAAAAAAGTGGGCTCGACTCCATACGTACTTGCGTGCCTGCCGGATCCCTACGCAAGGACGGATAATGGCGTTGCGTGTGCTCCGCACTGACGCAGACGGAGAAGCATATATCAGGCTTTACGCTACAAACAACCTCCGCTACGCTCCAGCTCAGCCACTCGAACCTGACACAACTAAACAAAAACATTAAAATGTCATTGAGATGCAGCTGTTTGCCAATACTTGTATATCAGAGGAGAATCCACCATTCTTACCACTGGATGTGCTCTGTCTAACCCCATTTGGAAGGAGTTCACTACAGGTGTGTTTTTCTGTTTGCCAGAGAAAACGAGGTCTTTTGCTGCCACAGAGAAGAGCTTCACAGTCAAGATGTTCACCTTCCAGTTCTTCACCTACTTCTCCTCCCTCTTCTATGTGGCTTTTTTTCTTGGCAGGTAAAAGATCCACTATTTTTTTTAATTCATTCTTCTACTTTATTAAACCTTAAAGCTCATCTCACTAATAATGAAATTTAAAAATGTTGACAGAATAAATGGCCACCCAGGTGAATATGTTCGATTAGCAGGAAAATGGAGGCTTGAGGAAGTGAGTAAATGCAAATCTGTCAATTTTTTTTTCACGTTTTGATTTGAGTTGTAACATAAACAGTCCACTTCGTTTATTTTGTAGTGTCATCCCAGCGGCTGTCTCACCGATCTGTTCATTCAAATGACTTTTATCATGGTGCTAAAGCAAATCATAAACAATGTGTTTGAGTTCAGTGGTCCGTAAGTATTATTTAGATTCCCAGTGGCGTACAGTTTGTGCCATGTTGGTTTGGACTCATGAAAGCTCTCTGTTGTTTCCATCAGCTGGTTCAGAAGATTCATGAAACAAAAACGATCCAAGAAGCTGCAGAGGAAATGTGCCCACTGCTACTTGAAAGATGAAACCGAATCCAATGATGGAGCTGAGCTGTGTGAGAACTGCAAGCTCAAAGACTGGCACAAAAACTACGAACTAACTGATGTGAATTCATTCAGCCTGTTCAATGAGTTTTTGGAGATGGGTAAGAACTGATGGATGCATCAGACCTTAACAGCTGGACTGCTGTTGGTTGATCTTATTTTCTTGTGCTTTTACTGCAGTGATCCAGTTTAGCTTCACCACTATATTCGTGGCAGCATTTCCTCTAGCTCCTCTGCTGGCTCTCTTCAATAATATCATTGAGATACGTTTGGATGCCATTAAAATGGTCACCCTGGAGCGCCGGATGGTTCCCAAGAAAACCAATGACATCGGTGAGGGTTGTTTGTAACGCTCAAGTCGAGTTATTTACATTCTGTTTTGTATGCTGACCCATCTTGTTTCTTCTCAGGTGTGTGGATAGACATACTAGAAGCTATTGGTGTCTTAGCTGTCATCGCAAATGGGCTGATAATTGGTGTTTCATCTGATTTCATCCCCCGACTTCTGTATCAATACCACTACGGCCCCTGTGCCAATGGAACATCATCTGAGTGAGAACATGCATTCATCTGGAAAATATTTATACTTTACATTTCTCTTGGCAACGTTCACCTAGATAACAACTAGGCTGCACATTGGAGCCTTGCTGCTGGTTCAAAGGCATTTTTTACATAAAGTTTGCATGTATGTGTGGGGGTTCCTCCCACGGGCCAAAAACATGCATGTTAAAGCTGCTGCTGCAAATCTGCATACAAGCTAGGTTTTAAACGCGAATACGCGAATACAATCATAGAACAAACCCCCCCCCCCCCCCCCCCCCACCCCCACCACCACCACCACCAGTCGGCTCTCGTCCTTAGGCCACGTCAACTGGAAACTGGAAAGCATATTACCACCGTAAACAAGAGATCGTTACACACCAGATGTAGTTTTCTACATCCAAATATATTTTGTTGTCTGTGACTTCAGATGGTGTTTTTCTTTTTGGAACTCTGGTACTTTGTCCTAACGTTGAAGTGGTTGCAACTGGCTGTTTCTCCTTCTCTGGTATTATTGAGCAGAGAACCTCTCACACGTGGTGTTCTGTTGCTGAATACACAAATGCATAATTAGTGTAGGACCCAGGGAATCAGAATCAGAAGGGTTTTATGTTTTATAACATTAGGAATTTATTGTGGCACTTGGTGCAAAAAAGAAAGTTAATATAGGAAGTAATAATATAATCATTATCAATAATTAGAGAAACGGCGACTATAGAGCTCCGGTAATCATGATCAATAATTAGAGAAACGGCGACTATAGAGCTCCGGGAGTTGACGTCACTTCTCCCGGCATGCAACAGTTCAAATCGAAACAGCACCATATTGGCATGCAGAAGCCCGCACCTGGACTATTTGTAATTGTCAGAAAACTCAATCAAACGGGAAATATGGTAGATTGCTGTTGTGCCCCAGGATGCAGAACAGATGCGGACGACATAAGGAATGAGCCATCTACAGGATTCCCCAAGATCCGGAGCGCCGCAAACGTTGGATCATTGTAATAAAACGCGCTAGTGACCGGGCTGAAATGAAGCTGTGGGGCCCCGAGAGTAAAGGTTTTCGCTTATTCAGCGACCGCTTCATATCAGGTACTTAAACCAACGTTTCCTCAACTGTGTATGGTATTTATTTAAAATGCGTTTATTACGATTCTTAGTGGGCTTCCTAAACTTATTTTGGCGTGGCTTTTTCTGTCTTATTACTCATAGCAACAAGTAAACATCACGTAAAACGGTGCCTCGTGATTCTGCGTGCTGCCATTTACGTGTCTTATGATCACAGCAATTAACCGGCTAAGCTGTATTTCATTTTTAAGCAATGGTTGATCAATTGTCAGATCACACATAAAAAGCACTTTGGATTGCTATTATCTGTCTCACTGAGACAGCTCTCAGACAGATCCTGAGACGCTCCTGCCTGACATTTTTATTTTATTCACGGAAAAAAATCAAACTAGTGATTTCTCTTGGCGTTCAGTTTATACATTCAAACAGCACAGCACTCTATTTAAACTACTTACATGTAAATCTGTTATTTGTCCATCCATCCATCCATTTTCATCCGCTTATCCGGTGTCAGGTTGTGGGGGGCAGTAGCGTCGAGAGGCCCAGACTTCCCTCTCCCCAGCCACTTGGGCCAGCTCCTCCGGGGGAATCCCAAGAGGTTCCCCGGCCAGGTCCGGTAAGAAGTCCACTCCGACAGCTTCTAGCGTTTTTAAAAAAGTATCCCAGGGGCACGGTAAGGGTTGGAGATGTTTAGTCTACTTAATTTCTGACTATAAAAACCGATTTCTTCGGTTTTAAAGTGTGAAGTAATTATGACGAAGTAAAATCCAAGCCGATCCCGTTCATTTTGTTTACATTTGTTGCCTGCCAACATGGCGTCTACTCTCTGAGAGTCACGTGACGTCCGGAGCTCTATATACTCAAGACAGTGTAGGTGCGGATCAGAGTGGAACAGATCAGGTACAAACACAACACAGGGTCATGTGACTGTAACAAAGCAACTGGAGTGGGCAGTCCTAGGGCTGTTATTCATGAGTTCAACAGCAGAGGGGAAGAAACTGTTCTTGTGGCAAGAGGTTCCGGTCCGAACGGATCTGAGTCTCCTGCCAGGAGAGAGCGAGTCAAAAAAACTGTGTCCAGGGTGACACTAGTTAGCTGTTACCCAACCTTCACACCTCAATGTTCTGGAGGAGTACAGGTCCTGTATGGAGGGGGGTTTGCAGCCAACGACCTTCTCACCAGAGCGCATGACACATTGAAGCTTCTTCTTGTCCCTGATGGTAGCTCCAACTAGGGCTGGGTGATATGGCAAAAATAGAATATCACGATTTTTCCAATATTTTATCACGATTTCGATTTTATCACGATTTTTTATCCATGAATAGCATAACTTCAATTGCGTATTAAAGAAGAGAAACATTGAATAAACAAACATTTATTCATATTAGGGATAATCAACACAGTGCTAACACACTTATATTTTAAACTCACACCAGAGATGATAAAAGCCCTGAGAGAAACAATTACAAAAATCAGTTTTTCTCGTTTGTCAAGTAACTTAACATAAATTAAAATCGTAAACATATTTAAAGTGCAAACATGTCAATTGCAAACGTATTGTGCAAACATTAACTTGTTCAAAATACTATGTAGCTCCCAGTTGCTCATGTAGTGGATAGTTAAGCTCAAATACGGCTCTGATGTGCAGCTGGACCAGAGATCGCTTGTGGTAGCAAATAACTGCGCATTCTGAATATTTTCTGCAACTCTCACTTTGCATTCAGCGTACATGCGTGGAATGGCGGTGTTAGAAAAATACTTGCAGCTGGAAAACTTGTAGCGCGGATCCAATGTTTTTATCATTTTCTTAAATCCCACTCCTACTGTTCGCACGGGACAATCTTTAACCAAGTGGTACGTCACTGCATCTGTCACGCTGTTCCATCGTCTGCTGTCTCTGTCGTAAGGAGTGAGTTTTGTGTTTCTGTTAGCGTTTGCTGCCTGGAAGAAGCACTAGCCGCTGCAGCTGCAGCCGCAGGCTTTTTAGCTTTAGCTGCCAGCTGGCTCATTGTATTGTTTGGGATGCCTTCTTTTCAAGTGATTAAACAAGTTTGTGGTGTTGCCATCACTTGCCTTGACGCCCTCCTTGTAAATGACGTTTCGCTGCTCTTTGTCATCTGGTGAAAAACCAAACCAGTTCCATATAATGGACGAGGCGTTCCTCTTCGGAACGAAAACCTCGTTGTCGCTCTCAGCCGCGGCCGAAGCCATGTTTGTTCACACACAGGTGAAAACAAGTGGGGCACTAATATATTACTATGACTCACTCTGATTGGTTAAGGGTCAAACAAAGGCGTGTCATTCGCCGGAGGTAAGTTCCCTTTTCATTCAGAGGCAGAAATTGAACAGCAGAGCTGTGAATCGTGATAAAAAGGTCTCTCAAAAATGACAGACCGTCAGATGTGTAGATCGTAAAACGGTCTAAAATCGTCATATCGCCCAGCCCTAGCTCCAACCTACCATTCAGTGATTGAAGAGGTGAGGATGGACTCGATGATTGCAGCAGTGGTGCTGTTCAGCGAGAACGAGAACTGGATGATCTAAAAGTTGGTTATGGTCCGAGCCGTGTCATTGGCATAGGTTTTTAGACAAATGCGGGAGAACCACTTTATTCTATATATTTTTTTACCTCCACAATATATTAATAGCCATACTATGTTAGACAGTCGTTAATGGGCATGAAAGAAAAACATTTAGCTAAATCGTTTTCCAAATTTGCTAGATCAGCTTTAAGTTGTATTTAGGCTTTGTTTGGAAAACTGAAACTTACTTCTTTTCCTGCATTAGCTGCTTGACAGGCTACATCAACAACACCCTATCCATTGCATCACTGAGTGATGACACAGTAAAGTTTTCACCCGAACAGATGATCACTTCTGCTGGTGTAACTGTCACTTCATGCAGGTTCGTTCTTCTTTCATAAATGAAATTACATTTCTGACACAGACATTAAAAATACAAATGTGTGCATTAGTGATGAAAGTGTTTCTAGTGTTTGCAACAAACTGGAATGTTGTGCTTTGACCTTGAGGCTATTGTATAGTCTTATTTATGTCATGAAACTGTGAACTGGATCTGCAGCCAGTCATCTTTGGTTTGTTGGCATTTTTAAAAGTCTGTTTTGTGTCATCTCACAGCTACAAAGACTACAGGGACAGTGACTACAAATTCACCCAACAGTTCTGGCTGATTTTAGCTGCACGCTTTGCATTTGTTATCCTCTTTGAGGTGAGCTTACATGTTTGTGTGCTGACTCAGTCATTATATCCAACACTCTTGATGTAATATCGGTCTTTACAGGCAGCTCATCTAAGTTTAGGATTTATTCATACAACTGTTCTGCTTGTTTCCTGATGGAAAAGGAATAAAATATCTAACTATGTACTCTCTGCTTGTAGCATGTTGTCGTCATATGCAAATTTGTTGCAGCCTGGTTTATACCATCTGCTCCCATGCAAGTGAAGAACGACAAACTCTTTGATAAACTCCATAGACTAAAAGAAGAACTTAAGTAAGTCTGATTCATGGTTGGCTACCAAAGAAATGGTTGTTTATGTGTTTTCCATAACACAATTAACATGTTTACATGTATAATCAACAATCAAACGTACGGTTTGAGTAAACGCAGTGAACCTAAAACCCAACAAAACAATGTTCTTAAAGATTTCGATTTAGCTTGAATGTTACATATCTAGATGTGGGATATAATCCACATAAGACGGCTTTTTATCAAGATCATTATAGCAGTTCAATGGTGTTTTAATTTGAAAGAAATGCCAGTTAATCCCATAAATCTTAATCCTGACTCATGATAGCATTTTTCTTTAATTCTCTGCAGATCTTTTGAACCATAACAGCTTTCAGACCCATTAGTTGGGCATAAATTTTAGGTGTCATTGGCGCCAAAGCACTGGGTTGGTTGGAAGACCATGCATCGCCCCCTGAGATCGGCTGGCTGTCACATATTAGAAGTTTGCTGCATGATTTACTTCCATGACAGGAACTTTGACGGAAGATTTATTTTCCTGGGCAAAATGTGCAATGTATTGGAAATTACTGACCATCTATTTTAATAAAAATTCTTATTTGATGCTGAGTGTGCACTGATAGCTTAGTGTTGGATCTGTAATTGTGAGCCATTTCTGAATGTTTTACTGAAAGCCTGTTTTAACCTGCTACTGCAGACTGCTGACTGTGTTATACAGAAAATGCTGTGATGCTTGTTACTTCATTTTAATGAGACGGAATCGGATGCTGCATTTTGTAAACAAGACAGTTTTGCATCATTATTTTATATTATTGAGTAAAAGAGGAACCTTTTGTCCTTTTGAGCTCCTTTTAAATTGAATGTGTTTATTTTGTAGCATTGTCAGTTTGGTAAAAATGTACAAAATGTATAAATATTGATTGGTTGGCATTATTTATTTGTGTATTTATCCTTCCCATTAGGTAGTGTTCATCATTAGCTGTTACAGAGTATTAGTTCTATTGCATCTGTCAATGACAAGATATGCTTTGGTGATTTGGGCGTTTCGATGAGAAGTTAAAATATGTCGATACATAAAAGTCACATGCTTTTACAGTTTCTTGCAAAAAAATTAAAATTTTTAGGTACAAACTAGTATTTTGCAAAACTTGTCAATGAGGAATAAAATAGACTTTTTAAAAACTTCCATTCCAGTGCGTTTTTTTTTCTTTGTACATTTGAAATAGGTCAATTATAAACCTTCTTAACCATTCAGTTTCCAATAGTTAATTTTGAATTCAGTTAAATAATTTAAATAAAAACAGCTAACATAAAAAGCAGCTTTTACTTGTAAAAACTGCCTAACAAAAACAAAGGAAAAAAGATAAAGATTGTTTTATTACCCCTTTAAGACACTGTTCATAAATGAGGATAGTTTATTGTGACTTCTGTAAATTATACTTCATTATGCTTCGTAATGCACGTTACACTTTTAAGCAGCAATATGTAAGAATTCCACAGTGAAATAATCACAAAACAGTCTAGTGTCCCAATCATGTTGGAAAGATCGGTTGCATTGAAACAGATTCCTGTCTCAGCTAGATGAAGGGTGTAAGCTTTTTCTTTCTTTCTAAAAAACAAGAGAGACATAGCCTTTGTTCAAGACCTGAGTCTGTGAGATTGTCAATTCTCCACAGATTTAATGCTGCTGCGTCAGCATTAGTAATACACCAGCAGGCAAAAACTTATCGCTGACCACGGAAACCAATGTCTGTCGAATATCCAACGTCCAACTTCAAGCTAACTTCACTGTAGTATGATCAGAGCCACCACAGAAGGCCCATAGAGCCTGAGTTGTGTTGTGGTTGGGAGGAACTGTGGAAGAGTAAAGCTTTTGCTGCATGCCTGTTCAAGTTGGATTCAAATAGAATATATAGTACATTAACTATATGATGATAGTATTAATAATAATTTTATGTATATGTAACAGTGTTGTTAGTGCTAAAAGGCAGAATATTCATTTTATTTTTATCGTTGCATTGGAACTTCACATTGTCCCACGTTGAGTAGTCTCTGTCCCACATTTGGCAAGTTGGGATCTCACCAAAGCTTTTAGTGTGAGACTGAAAACAGTCTGGACAGAATGGTTGTTCTGGTCCCACACACAGATAGGGGTTAACCAGAGGAGAGCAGAGGTGTGCTCCAGCGTCATGTCCAGCATGTTTGTAGAAGAGAAAATGCTGAGAAACACAATACACGCATGCTCATCAGGCCCCCACAATGCAGCTTTAACATTGAGGCCAACCCGGAAGTAAGAAATATTGCTGTTCCACCCTCATCCGCTGGGGGCTGGTATCAGAAGCGAGCAAATCCTCATTGACTCCCATGTTAAAAATGCCAATTTCACAGCAGAAATAAACATGTTTACAGCCTGGTACCAGAACATGTTTTTGGTTTAAATGATCTAGTTTACACTCATGAAAACTCTGAGGGGGGTGAATTTTTTTCTCACTCTTCTGTTTAAGTGTATTAAAAGCCTAAAATTCTGTATAATTAATGAGCATCCGACCCACATGAACACAGAGCTAGCTCCGGGGAAAGGCCTCAGTAGAGCCTCGGTCTGGCTTGGAAACTGCTCCGGGATTTTGAGTCTCTGTGTGTGTATTCTTGTTTGGATATTTTTTGTGCAATTGTTGGACAAAATGACTTGATGTGGCATTAATTGCACTAATAGAGCGTCCAAGGAGTCTCCACTTCATTTTTTTTCGGTAAGTAAAATTATATTTATGTATTTTAGGTCACTGCCGAGATGAGCTTAGATTTTAACATGTACTGTTTAACCATGAAATTTAAATGTAATAGGGTAAAACCCAGTGCATTTAACATAATGCTGCACTTTAGAAAATGGGTTGAAATATAACATGTTGGTGGAGCTGGGTTCCGACTATCGGCTTGTGGAGCTCTCGGGAGACCGATGTTTTCCACCCAGAATGCCGGCTGTTTCTCCCCGCAGCCCGATCCATCTGTCTGATCGCGGCTCCTGTTAGCTGCGCGGGCTGACGGCTGGTTCTCCTAGCAGCTCGGCGCATTGCTGTCTGATCGCGGCTTCTGTGTGCTGCGGCGGGCTGACGGCTGGTTCTCCCAGCAGCTCGGCGCATCTGTCTGATCGCGGCTTCTGTGTGCTGTGCGGCTGCCGGCTTGTGGAGGTCTCCGAGACCTCTGTGTTCCACCCGGTTTTACCCAGCGGTCAGCCCGGCATATCTCTGACTCAGAAGCTCTGGTGTTGTGCACAGTTAACTCCGGTTGTAGCTAGGTTGCTACCTCCATTAGCTTAGCTCCCACCTCCGCATTAGCTTTGGGTTAGCTTCAGGTTAGCTTGTAGCTAGTTCGACCGGGTGTCGTCAGTTGATCCCAGCCTCACAGCCTCACCCTCAGCTCCTCCTCTCTTCCCTTTTATGGAATTGTCTGGGCTTGACGGAACCTGTGACACAGTCAAAATGGCGGTGGTGGCCAATTCACATCCAGAATCTACTGAGAAGCTGTGTGGCGTGCTGCCAAGAAATCTGCCTTCCTGAAGGATAATAATCTGAAACTCTGAGGATTTGTCACCAGAGGACCATGTCTGAAGAAACCAACTCTGGCCAACAGTGGAGGTCACGCGGGGTTCGGGGGCCACAAAAAGGGGGCCCGTGGGCCACTTATTGAGGACCACTGTTATAGAGCATGAGTTTATTTTTACTGCCCTAAATAAATTTGGCTTTGGTCAATTTTTCTGTAAAGTGGTTCAGACATTATATTCTAATAGTAATAGCTCCATAGAACTATCTAGGCACTTCCCAAAGATTCTTCATAAAAAGTGGAGAAAGGCAAGGATGTCCCCTATCGGTCTACCGTTTTCTTCTTTCTTTACAACTCCTTAATTTGCATTTTAAATCCAGCCCAGTAAAAGGACTGCACATTGCCAACAGAAATAATTTTAAGTCAGCTAGCAGATGATACTGCTATTTTTCTTAAAGATGCTTTGCAGGTGTCGGTAGCCATCGATAATATACAGCTTTTGCCACGTGCTTCTGGACCTAACCTTAACCTGAATAAGTGTGAACTCTTACCTGTTAAAGATTGCTCTGCTACTTCAGTCTATGGAATACCTGTGAGGGATTCAGTGAAATACCTTGGAATTCAAATTATTAAAAATAAGAAAACGAGATGCTCTGCAAACTTTACTCCTATTAAAGATAATGTGCAAAAGATTTTTTTACCAATGGTTTAAAATGAGACTTATCTTCAAAAGGAAGAGTTCTTCTTTCAAAGGCAGAAGGTATCTCCCGGTAGACCTATGCTGCTCAGGCCCTCCATGTCAACAATACAACCTGTAAGTCAGTTAATAAATTGTTATACAACTTTTTATGGAAAACTAAACTCGTTATTTATGAAAATCTGTTACTTTAAACTCCTATGACAAAGGAGGTTTAAATTTTATTGACTTTAGCGCACCTAATAATACTTTTAAAATAAATTGGATTAAAAACATCTAAAAGACCCCACATCCATTTGGAACTTCATTTCATACTAGGTATTTTCCAATTTAGGCGGCCTTAATTTCCTGTTGCTTTGTAATTAAAGTATTCTGAAAATACCACTTAAACTCTCTCATTTCCATCAACAGATTATTTTGGCATGGAAACTGATTTCCAAACACTGTTTCTCTCCGCAGAACTGTATTATTTGGAAAAACTGCAATATTGTTTACAAAAACCAAAGCTTATTTATAAATAACTGGTTAAATAATAGAATTATCTTGGTTATTCAGTTATATAAGGGAGATGGAATTTTGTAGTTATTCTGAATTTCTAGAAAAATTTAATGTACCAGTTGCCTAAAGAGTTTTCAATAGTATTTGATTGTGACAGTGGATCACTGCCACACCTAATACTTGACAGATCTACTGAACTCATACTTATAATTGGAAGGAGACACATTCATGAGGTATTGAAATGTATTTATGTTATGGAAATTTTATATTTCATTGCTTTAATCCTATTCACAAATGTCCTGAAGCATTCTCACACTCAGACACACCCACACACTGTTCTTCCCATACACACACACACAAGCGCACACACACACACACACACACACACATTCTCTCACAAAATGACATCACTCCCATCCTTATCTATTTGTTTAAATAAACTCTGTGATCAGACGTTCGGGGCATTTTGCCTCGTGCATGTGCCACAGTTATAACTGACTGACTTGTCTGCTCATTGTCTCCTTCTCTCGTCACTACAGGAAATGGGTTATTGATAAAAATATTGATAAAATCCCTAACATAATTTGGTCTTTCGAAAGCCAGGGTCCCATCACCTTGCGGCGCCAAGAGCTGACGCAGAAAAACTGTCAACAACCTAAATCTTCTCCGGCGCTGTGCTTTCGCTGGGGGTCGGTGTCCGGATGTTGACGTCGCTGGAAGGGATGCAGATCCATGAACTACTCAAGACCTGAGTGGAGAGATTTGGTGAGACAAGTTTGTTGTTTGTTTGTCTTTGTGGTACCGAGAGAAATCTTAGGTGACCAGAGGTTAAATTGGTTTTTGAGCGTTTTAGCCAAAAAATATAAACGCAACTAAACAGATTCCTGGAATGCTGTTTTGGTATGGTTAAGAGAATGCACTAGAGCGGCAGAGAGAAAGATAAACAGATTCCGGAAATGCTGTACTGGCTGGTTTTTGAGCGTTTTAGCCTAGAATGGAAATGCAACTCTGGTGTGATAAAGAGATAAATGAATAGACCGGTGTGATAAGTAAGAATAGACCGGTGTCATAACTAAGAGGTTAAATTGGTTTTTGAACGTTTTGGCCAGAAGTATAAACGCAACTCTGTTTTGGCTTGGGTTTTTGAGTGTTTTGCCTTGAATAGAAACACAACTCTAGTTATCGGTTGTTGTTTGTTTGTCTTAAATGTTGTCTGCTTTAATTGTTGTTTGAATGACTGAGAGTGTGCCTGGACTTGCCTTATTCTTGTAGAAAGAAGGATATCGAAACTCATTTAAACATCTGTCTGACATATCGGTGGTCAGATTTTTAAACTGGTTGGCGGACACGCCGTAAATCTGATCTTGCTGTATTAGAATACAGTTGAAGGGCAGATCCGTAAGCTTAAATCTGACCTCATGCCGAAGAAAGGACGGTGTGGTCTCTAAAATATG